AACACAAGGTAATGGTGAGAGGGGGACCAAAAAAAATCCATAGAAACATGTGCTCTGGTAGAGGGAAAAAAGAAATGACTAATTTCTGGAGTGGTTATTAAAAAAAAAAAAAAAGCGACAATTAAAAATAATAAATGGTGGGTGGGTGAGTGCAGGGAGCGAGCTATCGTCCCTGCTCCCAGTTCTCCCAGGCTTGATGCTGTGGCACAGCAGCCTGGCCGCCCTCAGGGATGTGAGAGAGCTCGCTGTGTGCAGGCCCCTTGCTGGGTGTGGCAGGTAAGATCGTGTTAAATCCTCAACCTTAGGAGGGTTGGTTTTCAACTTACAGAAGAGTTAACAGGCCCTGATTGGTGATATCACTTTTTAGGGACTTGAACCCAAGCAGTCTGGCTCCAAAGCCCCTGCTGTTCGCCCCAGTGATCCCATTGGAATGCTCTGCTTGGGAAAACTCACCCAAGCCAGGCACTCTCCCACCCCCTGGCCTTTACAGAGGCTGGGGTTTCTCAGTCTAGAACAGTTCATGTCACCTGGCCAACTCTTTCAGCCCAGTTTGGATGTCACTTCTTCCAAGAGGTCTTCCCTTCTGAAAAGCCCCTAGATGCTGTCACCTGCCATGCTCTGCTAGACCAGGTACACAACCTCTATCTGAGCCCTATTGCCATGCTGGAATAATCTGTGTATATGTCCATATCCCACTTTCTCGGCTGGGAACTAGGGCCCCAGGAGCACCAGACAGGAGAGGACCGGGCAGACGAGGTACTTGGTAGAGCCTGAGGAAAGTTTAAGGAATATTAGTGGGAGCTCAAAAGGCCATGCAGGAGCCCCTGGAGCTCTGATGGGCAGGAAACAGAGTGAAAAGTGGGAAATGAGACTGAGCTGAGGCTGCCCTGGAGGGTTCTGCACACCTGGGGACAACAGCAGCCCAGACAAGCCCATCCTCAGCCCTGTCCTGGGCACTGGTGTGGATGGAATGGGCTGGCTTCTCCTAGGCCTTACCTGTGCTGGAGCAGAGGCAGCCTCCTCACTGTCTGATTCCTCCTCGCTGCTCTCGGAGTCTTCGTGCTTCTCAGCTTTGACCTGGGCCATGGAAGGCCCTGCCTTCCCTTGTCCTGAGGGCCCCTTGGTGGGAGTGAGGCTTTTCCCCACAGACTTTGCCTAGAATGACAAGAAAGAGAGGTGTGTCACAGGAGCCCAAAGGACTACGTGGGGGCTGGCTGTGAGTCAGTCAAGCACACCTGGCCTCACCTGGCCCTGTGCTGCGGCAGGAGCTGTCTCCTCCTCACTGTCTGACTCCTCGCTGCTTGAAGAGTCCTCCTCTGGCCTCTGGGTGCCTCTGGTCATAGCTGGGGACGATGTGCAAGCTGGTGAATTCCCCTTTCCTGCTTTCCAGGGGGCTGGTGTGCCCACTCGAACTGGGGGGGCCTTGGCAGATGCAGGCGTAATGGGGGTGCCTTTCCTTGGGGAGGCCGTGGCCTGAGTTTTCATAGCTGGTTTTGCCTGAGGGGACACAGAAGTCAGAAGCTGGAGAAGAATCCTGGATTCAGAGCCCCCATCTGTTCTAGGGTGAAACCCCACGGCCATCCTTCCCCACAGCTTCCTGTGGAGCTGACTAGTAGGGTCGGCTCAGGGTCAGGCTATGTAGCTGCCCCTCCTGGGACCGCACCTGGGGCCTCACCTGGGCTGGAGTCACAGCTGTGGATGCCTCCTCATCACTGTCTGACTCCTCACTGCTGCTCTCCACGTCTTTCTTGGGCCTTTCAACCTTGAGCTGGGTGGCTGTAGGCCCTGCCTTCTGGGGGGGGCACTTGGTGGGGCCTGAGGCAGATCTGACCTGAAGAACTTTCCCCGAGGACTTGGCCTGGAATGAGACACATGGGATCGGGGAGGCCAAAGCATGCTTGTGTGCAGAGACACAGGGGACGGAGGGGGCAGAGTCAGCGTGCAGAGAGGGAGGGGCTCCAGCACTGCGGGGAGAGAAAGCCCTACAGGCAGGGGCCTCACCTGGGCTGGGGCCACAGCTGCTGGCGCCTCCCCCTCGCTGTCCGACTCCTCACTGCTGCTCTCCGAGTCCTCCGGCCTCCCTGCCTTGGCCTGGACAGCTGCAGGGCCTGCCTTGCCAGGGGGTGCTGGGATGACCCCTTTCCTCGGGGACTCCTTGGCGGGGGCTGAGACAGCTTTGACCTGGGTGGGCTTCCCCGAGGACTTCGCCTAGAACGAGCGAGACAAAATGAGGGGAGAGAGGCAGCTCAGAGGGTGGATGTGAGGCTAGAGACCAGACAGGGCCAAGGACACCACACACACACCACACCACACAGTGAGGGGTGGGGGCAGGGCTCTTGCTGAGCAGGAGAACAAGTCTTCAGAAGGCCTTGGGCGGGGGAGG